GATGTTACTACAGCGATTAGAAGGGAAAATACTGACAGAGGTTTTGGGTCAGAGCCTCAGGTTGAGCCTGGAAGAGACTCATATCGATTTTGACTTTCAGTTTGCGACGGATTGAYTTGGACTAGTAATAATAAGAATAATAATAATAATGAGATTGTGCTTTGTATAAAGGGTGAAAGCAAGGTTAGGATTATCCTGGAGTTAGAAGGAGAAAATGGGCAGAGACTGAAATGAACTTTTATACTRTTGTGTCGTCGTTTCGACGAGGTTGGAACAAAGGTTAAAATTTAGCATGGAGTCTCAGGTTGAGCTCTGGAAAGACTCATACAGAGACTAATTATAAACCTCAGGTTAAGACGGTTGCTGGTGTTAAGTTCCAGGATATATGTGGGGCTGAAACTCTGACTGACGTGAACTGTGAATTCGGCTGAGACCGAAGTTGCGTTTGTTTCTTAGGCTAATAATGATAAGTTAGATAACGACTCAGACTCAGTTACAGAGTCTTCTGCTTTAACTTAAATTTTTTTGAGCTAACAAACAAAACGTCTACTCTCTTTTTCACAGGTGGACGTACCATCCAGCTGTGGCTGCAGCCYTTGCGCAGAGACTACTGACTATCAGATTGGTGATAAAATTGATGTACGCTTGCAGCCGCTACCTCGTTTACTGTCTGGAAAATTCACATAAGCGCTGAACAAACTCACTTTGATTTAAGAAATGCGTTCTATGTCTAATTTTAAGACTTGTTACGAAGAAGAAGAGAAAATAAAATTTATAAACGGAAAATATTAGAAATTAACAACTCGTTCTTTTAACTTTGCTAAAGAATCAAGGTATACTCTCAGCATCGCTAGTTCGAGCTAGAAGCTTCTCGTGAGTTCCGCTATTAGCTGCTTTCTATATTGGCAATTTTGCAGAGTGCCACCTTTAGTGGTGGCTTCTTCTTGCTGCTGACCGTTTCTATATTTTCATAGCTCTTTGCTATGYCAGCAACCATTTTATACGCTCGGTCTTAAGTAGTATTAGTTGCTTGCATTTCAAATGGCCAACATCAAGTATTCGCCACTTTGCAAGCATACTGATTTATGGCTGTGTCTGTCACGTAATCGAAGTGTCGTAAAATGGATTGCAACCAGCAATGATTGGAAGTGGAATATTTTTAAAACTTTCTGTGTAGTTGAAACTCGATTGAAATTCATGAATATTCAAATGAGTTTACTAGCTGCAAAAAGCTTAAAGCAACTACTCGAAACAAAAGTCAGAAACTTGTTTAGTGGAGTGATATTCTCAGTTACATGAAATTTGTGTTTGTATGGTTTACATGTGGTAGTTATTTATATTCTTAAGATTGTAGGAAAACAAGAGTTAAGCATTTTTGATTATATATTATTTTCATAGAATTTACTTTGTTTTCTGTCACATTTTTTCTTTTCAAGTTGATATTCATCCTTAAATTCATAACAACTTTTCTTTTCAAGTGGATCCCATAAAAACATTAGAAGTTCAGGTCTTTCGTATTATGTGTCGTTCGCGTGCTTCATTTTTGAATTTCGGAATGATCTTGCCGTCGGGAATGGTCACCCAACTCTGTATTATTTAATGAATTTTAGTGCAATTACGCTTTTTAAAGTTGGTACTCAAGGGTGGTCAAATTGGGTTCACGTGTTTTTATACTTGAGATTAAACTAAGGGTTAAGTGAGTCCTAAAGGTTTCAGTAGTGTCGAACGTTATTTCCCGTCTTCTTCTAACTTTTACTTAATAGACCTTGTTGGCTGGTAATGAAGTTGGCCACGAAGTTTGTAAGGAAGCACCGACGAGCAGATTCGATTAAACGAACTAATCCCTTACTAATCCCTTACTATTTGAGATTTCCCTCTGAAATTCTGCAAAAAAAAAAAAGGACTTTTCCAAAGAAACTTCTCATATATAAACTGAAGGATCGGAGTCTAGTGATTATATGAAAAACTTTGACGATATATCTACAAAA